GTGTGTGTGTGTGTGTGTGTGTGTGTGTGTGTGTGTGTGTGTGTGTGGGTGGGTGTGTGTGTGTGGGTGTTGTCAGGCGCTGCGCTCTGACCCGTGGTGACCTCAGAGGGTCCCGGACACAATCCTTTAGCTTGGTGCGCCACCCTCCGCCTGAACTGCAGCAGTTCACACGGTCCCCATTGAGCCCCAAATGATCTAAGCTGAGTTCACACTACATGGTTCAGCGGCTACAGGCCCTTTTGAAAAACAAATACAACAGCAACAGAAGCTGAAGATTTACTTTTTTAAATGTCTAAACATGGGAGCAAAAGTATATTGCATTCCTCTCCTCTCAAACAATATTTAGTAATAGTATCACAATGATCGTGCAGAAGATAAAATATAATATATATATTTATTCACCACTTTAATCTTTTAGATTTAGAGGAACGTTACAGTGATTTTTGCATCTTGGGGGATGAAAAAAGGAACAAGAACAATATAAACTCAACCCAGACATTAGAATAATTAATTTAAAAAAAAATATTAAAACTCTGTTTTCCCAATAACTTATGATAAGCTTATATTTAGCGGGGCTATTTGCACCATTGTGTTGTGTCTGAAAAGATCATTATTCTTTAAAATTGCGTTTTTAAAAAAACTCTCTATTATCCTCTCTGTTGAAAGTGGGTAAACAGTTCCCTCTGGCGGTACATTGAGGGAACTTCAGTGGTCCGTTCACTGGAAGATATTTTACAGAAAAAGATCTACTCTGACAAACTCTTGTCTTCCTTAAATAGAAACTACAATCTATTATATTATTATATAACTGTATGATGATTGTAATCCAAGAATCATTTAGCAAGGATTTTAGAAATACTGAAGTCAAAGAAAAGCCTATTTCATATATAATAGTAGCTGTTAAATGATATTTTCTGCAAGATTTCTTTTTTTCTTCTTTAAGGAAATTCATTTGGAAATCAGGAGCTGCTCATGAACTTATCACACACACAAAAAACACTAAAATCGAACTCAATTCTAATTAAAATAACTGTCTTAGTATGTTGTCTTCATTTTCTATAAGCAGTAACTGATAACTTACGTAGTTTGTTTTTTTCTAGAAAATGTTTTGGGGGAAAAAAAGACATCCCTCTCTATGCTGTCAGGCCAAAAACTCTGATGAAATCTGATGGTGAAGGAATTTACCTTGTCATAAAAATAATAAATGAAATTAAACAGTTTTCTAGAAAAAGGAGATGTACTCCCACCCTGCAAGTTGTTTAATCTTCAACAAAGAATCATCCTTTATTTACTATTTCTGCAAAACAAATCTTGTTTAAAAATTTCAATATGGCCATCTAGTGGCATAATATAGCATACAAATATCTAAGTTAAGTACAATTATCTCAATATTAAATATTGATTATTATTATGATATATGGAATAAAGTACTTAAGTGAATGTACTTTGTTGTAGAGGCAGGAGGAAACTCAGACCTGTGGTCTGTAATCAAATCCAAACCAACATATCAAAATATATATTTTCTTTCCTTTTTCGTCATTGTCATATTACTTTTTTCCTTTCATCCATGTGCTGTAATGCAGAAAGTTACGACCACTCTATGTTGCCCATTATACTATATATTTTTATTTTAATTGATTCTCTTTTATTTGCAGATTATGCTTTATCACTACATATTGACTGTACGCCATTAATAGTTTATTAGTGCAAATGAGTGTGAAGTAACTCAGTTTGTCTGCGCTTCACTGCAAGATGAGGCCACATGTGACTTTTTACCAGCAAAAAAAATGTTAATTTTAATTTATCTATACAACAATGCAAAAATAGTCCATTACAAGTAAAATGTATTTTCTTATTCAATTCAAAATCCAACTGAAGTACAAATGTAGAAGTAAAAAGTATCAAAAGTAAAAATACTGATTATGCAGAAAAATGGCCCCTGTGTGCGGATGTATTTTTATACGTGACATTATTATTATTATTATTATTGTTAACACCGATGCATCAGCATGTTAATGGCATTTTACTGTTAGAATTTAGCTGGTTTTAATTACTTTATATAGCTAGACAGGAGTGAAAAGTAACTACATGTAACATACTTTGAGGTATTGTATATCTTTATATTCCACTACATTTATTTTATAAATTAGTTGCTTTGCAAATTCAGATTAATACTGCAAAATGTAATCAACAAATAATGATATTTAACATAGTTAACTAGTATGTTAAGTAAATAAAATTGGTCCCAACTTTACCAGCTACAGTATAGAGTAGTATACAATTAAAATACACAAGTAAAGAATAAGTACATTAAGATTGTAAATCAGTAAAGCGCTTAAATAAGTGTACTTACTAACTTGTATACCGCTGAATGTGTGAGGTAACTTATTCCCTGCTCTACAGGGTTGCTGCCTGCTGTGGTTGTAATACATATTATTATTTGTAATTGATATTACTGTATGATAGATATGTACAGTTATTGTCACAAAAAGTGGACCAATGACAGCACGCCTCTCAAACTTTAGGAAATGCAACACGTGTGGCCGCTCCTGATTGGCTGAGAGCTGCACCAGCTGAGTAAAATGTAGACTGCAGCTGCCGCTTCCTCAAGAGACTCAAGATCGGTCTCCGGGTCTGCTGGTGCTCACAGGTCAGTGCAAACATTTCCCACTTTCTCCCTCAAATATGTACGCGCACATTTGCGTTCAGTCACAAACCTGTATGTTATTTACGGAGGATTGTTGAAATGTGGTGTTTTTACGAGCACGCAGGGAGGGAAAAAAACCCGCACTTCCCTTATTGTTGACCTGAAATAGAAAGCCACGTTTTGTATATCTTCTCTCCACATCATCTCTTCATTTCCGTATATCTCACACTGTCTACGTCGACAGCTTGCTCAGTCATCATCGTGTTTCATCAGAATAATGTGTTTATCTTATTGAGCCGTTCTGTCGGTATTGCTGAGATATTCCGTGTGCGTCCGAAGCGGATCGTTTGAAACGACAAGACATATGGACACGAAGCATTTGATCAGACACCGCGTGAGAGAAGATGCTTAGGTTGGAAACTTTTTTTTTTTGGTTTAATCTCGGCCTCATCGACTTTGTGTGTAACTGCCATGCACATTGACGCTATTGTTAATGAAATGTGATTACCACGACGGTTATAGAGGATCAACGGGACCATTATCAAGCGCATGTAGTTGCATCCCCGCCATATCCCCTATGTATGTATGTATGTGTGTGTGTGTGTGTGTCTCTGACCCAGTAACCTCCAACCACTCCTCATTACAACACTTTCTTGAGGGAGTCTGGAAAGCACACCGAGCTGAAGAATTCATAGCCTAACTCTGGTTTTTCAGGTTTTGGGCCGCTCCCAGTTTTCCCAGTAATATTATTACTATTGGCAAACTTGTATACACGTCACAGTGAAACATGCAGTTTGGATTCATTTATTTAGGCAAGGTTACATTGTCACTATGAGGTATATATTGTGGGATTTTCAACTTAATCTGCCATTCTGGATCTATGACTGTATTCCGTTGTACCAGTATTTGAGTTTTCAAGTAAGCAATTGTAAGCAAGATACAAACACACACACAAGGAAGTATGGAAACAAATGTCTGCCTGAGCTGTAGGAGTTTATTCAAAGATCTGATTTATTTGCCTTTGATCAACATACATGTATTTACTTACTCTCTAAGTAAAGTCAACCATCATAACTCCTCCCGCTGAAAGTCACAGATGAAGGTCAGTAACGTGTTGTAAACACGTTTTCGGTGCCCCAACATGCTGTAGTGTGAAGTGCTGGATGTTGAAGCAGATCCTCTAACAGGAATCTGTGGAATGCAGCTCGTGTTTGTCGATTTCTCTCTTCTTAAACAGCATTTTCTGAACACTAGGTAATGCTCTTCTGGCCGTGCTGTGCAGTCACATGAGCAGTTGAACTACAGACATGGGATGATCCTAAAGTGACAGGACGAGCTTTCATTACTGCAAACAGAGAGGGACACTATATGTAGTTTTGTGATTCAGGAGCTGACTGTCGTCACTCTGCTCTGGTCATTTGATAATACCACTATCAGTCTGTTTTGGGGTTCATCTTGCACGCAAATAGCTGAGCTGTCTGGTGTTTACGCAACAACCAATAGCGGCTCTGATTTGAGACCTTTTCTTAGGGCAGGAATTAGAAAAGTCACCCCAACCAAGCTGCAACCTCCGGTGCAGAAAACTAAATCCAACACGGAAGAGTCAAAACTTTGGTTCCTCAAATGGAGAGCGAGTCAATCTTCATCGATTTTCCCCCCCTTCAGAAACATATAGAGACTTGGACTCAGTATTTCAATACAGTCTATGATCTAAACCTCGGATGTCATAACCTACGAAAGTGAATTTAAAAGAATCATGTGAGAGCAACAAGATGAGGATCCGCATTAATGAACCAACCTCAAATTTGCATGCTCCTGCATGGAGCGTTAACAGAAGAATGATTTACTTTTTCGAAAAGATTTTTCAAAGAAACTTGGAAAATATCAGCCAGTTATAAGAAATCAAAATAAGATGCCAGACATTCATCCCAAGTCTGTTCGAGAATGTCTTTTCATCTGGCATGGCTACTGAAAAAAATATGAATCGATCAGCTTATTCACAGAACAGCAAGAATTTTGGTAATTGGTTGTATTTCAAACAAAAGTGCCAAACATTCCCCCTCAGTTGTGAGGATTTGCTTTCCCTTTCATTATGTGATCGTAGACTGCATATGTGGGAGATCTGGACGGTTGTCTGAGACATACGACGTCGTATAGGTTTGAGCTACATGTGGTTTTGACATTTTCTAGACTAAATGACAATTATTCAAGAAAGCTATCAGATATATCTGTGATGAAAATAATTCTTGCAGCTTAGTTTAAGCAAAACCTTAAATATATGTGAAAAAACTAAGTAATACAGTGTGCTGCAGTGTTTTATTCAAAGTCAATAAACCTCGGTGGAAGAGCAAAGCGCTTAAAGGTAACCTGTTTCGTTTTTAACCACTAGCTTTTTTTTTTTTACAAGTGGGTCCCCACTGTTTGTTCATGCGAACCAGGAAGTGATGCATACTCCTGCTGATTGACAGTTGGTGGTGACACGCTAAGAAGTATAGGACTGCAACTAACAAATGTAATTAAAAGAAGTCTGCTTTTGCAAATGTTCAATCAGGAATGATATGCATCCAACACATTTTAATCTGAACATAACATTTGTTTCCTAACCAAAAAAATCTCACCTTTTGAATTAGAGTTTCTGCCCAGATTGACTCGTGCGCAGTCATTTCTTTGACCTGCAGCGTTGAGGTCATTTGTCCTGATGCTGTGTTGGTAGCCGTTGACGGGTGTGTGACCTTTGTTCTACTTCACAAATCCCTCCCTCTCCCCTACATTTCTCCGCTGTGAGAACATTTGACTGGGAGTGTGCGATTTCACCGGGACAGTCGAGACCTGCAGTCCCGAGCGTGGTTGTCCTGTGCAAGGTCAGCCTTCGTGTCCTAACACTGGGGGTCAAACGTGACTGGAGGAGGCTGGACGTGAGTCCGTCAGAGGGGCGAAGCAGATGAAAGATGTCACATTAGCTTCAGCAAACTTCCAGTAGCCACGCTGTGACAAATGCATGCACTGAGACCGATAGTGTCTAAAGTAAATCAGTTGCCTTGGAGCATTCTAACGCTTTATACCTGTAAACCTAAGTGCTCTTACACAGGAGTATTCTGACTCATCCTTCTATTTAGATTGTTTCCCTCAAGACGTGCTCATGGAGCCCCTAATGTCCCAAAAGGTATTCTTTTTTTTATCTTGTGCACAAGATTAAAAAAATAATGAATGAGCTGGACTGAAGCAGATCCAGCATCAAGATCCAATAAGTAAAAAGCCCATGAATTTCATCTGGAACAGTTTGTGTCTTTACAACGGAATCAATAGTGAAACACTGTATGTGGTAATTTCCTGAACACATTTGGTTTCAGGTTTAAAGATGTGTACTTCTTAGAGAGCTGTATTAGGCAGACAATTCACACTTTACATACAACAAGGATGTGGAGAAGACATTGTTTTATAGATGTCCATGACATCAAGGTTACAAATATTGATTCATTTTGTCATTCTCTAACCTGCTATGGCAACAGATGGCCATCCTAATTTTAAAAAAGTACCCAGTTTCTCATTAATAAGATCCCTTTCACTGCACACTAAATTATTTGGTTCACAAGACACTTTGCTTGCTATAACAACATCTTGTTTTATCAAAATGTGTACTGTATGTGTCTATATCATCTTGTTCAAACAAGACTCATTTCTTCCTCTAACATGGGATGTTGTTAAAACAAGTCAGATATATTGTTTAAATTTGAAAAATGTCCAGTCTGTGTCTAAATGGAAGACACTGTAGCCTTCATCGACGAGAGAAACATTTACTAATTTAAAAAAAAATGGTTTGGTAAAGTTTTATTTCATGCTCGGGCTGAGACACGTGCAAAGTATCATCCATCCATGTTTTATACCTGCTGATCCTCTGCAGTTATATTCCAAATCACAGAACTACTCTATTTACTTATATCGCATAACACAAAAATTGGGTAATCTTTTCAATTAACCCTGCTCTCCCCTAAGTTACTGCCGCTACAACTGTCAACCTTTCCTTTTGCGAAACGCATCTCGTAGATTACAAGATGTTCCTCTTGAAATGATTAGTTCTTTTCAATAGGTCCTTGTATTCAAACAAAAAGCAGTGTCTCATTTCTATCCAGCAACTTTTTGATTTTGCCTGATAAAATTTCACATTTGCCCGCAAGTAATTAGGATCACGTTAGCCCAGTGAGTTGGTTAAAAACATCAGGTTGACTTGTTTCTGGATAGCTCGTCAACGATGACAGTCGGTTTTCAAATAGATGCTCTTGATAGATGCTAAGCTAAAGGTCCCAGGCAAAAAGTCAGCATCCTCACCAGTTGACGGTTCATGTGGAAGACGTGTAACATGAGCGCTCTGATGAGCTCCTGAGCCTTGGAAGTAACTTACTAATAGAGGTTGTAAGCTAGCTTGCCAGACATGCTCATAAAACACATTTCTGAGATTTGTGCGCTTGTGTTCTTGGATTTGAAAGACACCACCCTCCAAACCCTATAAATGTCGAGTATCTCTCTTACGTCAGCCCCCATGAATCGATTAATCTAAATACTTCAGCTGCGCATGACGTACACAAATTTGTGCCGATTCATGTAACAGCTGAAAGATAGCTGATTCGGAAGTGACCGTCTTGCCAATATGGGATTGAGTTAAGTGTGTTTAAAGGCTCCGCGTGTTGAATCCTCAAATGTTAAGGTTGTAATAATGAGCTTGAATCATTTAACCTAACCCAAACCGAGTGGTCTTTCTTTGTCTGTGTGCCGTCCCACAAAGAGGAACTTGAACATTTCTCAGAACATCAAGTGTGACTCGCCAACCACGTGGTTTGTCTCTTTGTAACTTCCTGGCTGTGGTTTTAAAATTACAGCTGTAGTCTACTCTCAAGCTGCAGTCTTGGTGTTCTGTTATGTGTCAAATGAACCAGCTGCCCTCTCCCCCTCTTTTTTTCCAATGTCTTGTGTGTGTGTGTGTGTGTGTGTGTGTGTGTGTGGGGTGACCGGCGAGCTGGCTCTGCCATTGGCTTGTCATCTTCCCAGTCCAAGTATGGAGAGCAGAGGTGGGGTGGGGGGTTGTTGCATTACCTTTTGACTTCAACAACTCTCTCTCTCAAGCATGCGATCAATGGCTTACGTCTGCTGTTGGCCATCTGACAGGAAAACACGCACATGAGCTGAACCTTAACCCTATTTTAATTATTGCGTCATCTATCAATTACTCTTGATAAATGATTTAGTCTTTATTAAAATAAATAAGAATCATCAGGACAAATACCAACAAAACAGGGGGAGGGGCTTCACATTCTCAGGTTTCAGCTTTACACATGGCAGGATTTGCTGCTTCTCTTATAACAACAAACTGAACACCTTTTGTGTTTTGGACTTGTGTTCAGACCAAACGAGACATTTGAAGACTCCTCCATGGCCTCTGCACAGTTATGATAGCATTTTTTCAAAAGTTAGTTATTTGATAATGATAATAGACAGTGGCAGCTTTCAAGTTTTGTTCATATCAAACAGAAACATTATGTTCATGAAGCTGTTTGTAACCAAATTGTAATTTGATGATCAGTTTTGAATAATCTATTTGTTGATTTCAGTTGGGGCGGGCAATATGACAATTTAGCATCAATGTGATGAAATATCTTGATTTATCAGGAATGTAATTGGCAGTATTAATAAAACTATTTTCTCTTTTTATTGTATCCATAAAACCCAGGTATTATCTATTGTCTGTATTGATCTCATGACATACAATTGCATACCATGACACGATTTAGAATAGGATTGTATCCATACTACCACCATGTTTTAGCATTGTACATTACTGTTACATCCATGTGTATTTTGCTTGTTACAGTCAGTTGATGAAACTTCAGCAGGAAATGTCTTCACATTCAACCCACCGTTTCCATTTGTCTCAGTTGAAAATGCAGGAACATAAGATGTAGATTGTCTCTCAACTGTAGTAAATAAACTGGAAATATTAACTTATATTATTCATCTTAGACTCAAAGGAATCTGCTCATATGCTCAGGTTTGTGTGTCTGGGCTTTAATGCTCACATACTCTGGGGTATCAGTTATAGAAAACAGATTTTGTCAACATATCTATTATGTAGAACACAAAAGCCTTCTTGTAATAAGCATGTAATTCTTTGTTTGACATGTTTCACCTGTTTGGACGCTCGGCAACACAAGAATTGCACACAGACTGTGTCCAGATAATGTATGATTAGACATTGGTCCTTCAGTCTTGAATAAACATTGCTCGAAATGTTTCAGTCACTCGGATCGTCGATCAGTTAAGTTGTAATTCTGCTTGAATTTGTGACTGGCATTACCTTTTTTTTTTTATACTGTCTTTTGCACGCCTGATAACCACTTGTAATCCACTCTTATATCAGTTGTGTTTTCACAAGGACGAAAAGCTCAAACTGTGGGTTTAAATCAACCTGCTGCTTGAGTATCGCTCCAGTGAGTGGGCAGCTTTGCCTCACGCCTTTGTGTTTGAGAGGGGCGTGTTTCTGCTATTCATAGTTGTGAGAACCTCAGAGGTCTATTAGAGGTCGGTGTGAGTCCTTCTAATAGCAACTGCTGCAGCAAAGTGCCGGTCAGATAGCTGCACCGCTCCGCCTTTGGACACTGTCTGTACGAATCTTCATATACACACACACACACTGTGGGACTGTGAGTATAGAGATTTATTCTATCTTCATTTGTCAACAATCAATATTAAAGTTTTTGAAAATGAATTTAGCTACATTTGATTTGCTGTCACAGACGTGGTGTGATCATCATAGTGGCTAACAGGAACACCTGTAAGACTTACTGTAGTGTAGTATTTGTTAAGGTTTTATATTGAATTTTTGTTTTATTGTAAAAAAATGTATAGAGCACAAATAAAACTGAACAGCTTGAATGAATCTTGCCGGTGCTCTTTGTTTTGGTATTTGAATATATACATGAAAGAGATCATCATTCATCTCTTTTGATCCTCGAGCACATTCAACAATTTTCTGCATTTAAATTGTCATAAAAAGTAAATAAAAGAAAAGTAGCTTGTCTACAATACGTTGTCCCAGTTGGCACTGGTCTCAGTTGCCATGAGATCAGTGGTAATAATAGAAGTAGGTGAGAAGTCAATTGTTACCTACCGTACGTGGCGGCGGTTCATTTACATACAGGGCTGTTGCCATCTAATCTAGAAGTCAAATGAGTTCATCATGATGTACATAAAGCCACGTTAAATATTGATATTGATGTATTTCCATATTCAGATGTGATATTTGAAAAATACCTGCAGGTGAGATAGGTCCTAATAGAAGTTGAGTTTAAATTTGTCTTTCCTGCCAAAAGCTCGTCTAAGCATCAACTTAATTAACGTAATTAGAATCATTTGACTTTTCTATTAGAATTTAGTGGAACGGAGCCATATATCCAGTTAAATGTGCTTTCAGCCCAGTGCGTTCATTTCTCAAACGTCCAGACCAGAAAGCCTCACTTCCCCTCAGACGCAGTAGAGTAGCGTTCATTGTACAGCGTCTGTGCTCGTGTCCTTATAACTCATGGAGGCTTGTGATCGGAAGATGTGTGTGGCGTCGTATTTCCATTCTGTGTCTTTGTTTCAAAAGCTGTTGAATGGGAAGTAAGAGCAGTGGCAAACATAAAGGTACTTTCGGCAGCATTTTTCTGTTAGAAGTTTCTTTAAAAATAATCTTTATTTTTTTTAGTTTTTGGGCATTTTAGACCTAAAGACAGCTCAAAGAAACAGGTAATTTCCTCATTTAAGGACGGACATTTCTTGTTCTCTTAAACAACAAATTGATACGAGTATTTCATTTTGTGCTCTAAATAATTCCCGTTACTGATCATCTTTATGTATCACATATCTAATGAAGTTGGAATACTTTTAAAGGAAGAAATGCAACAAAAGCTGAACATGGAATGAGGAGGTAAAAATTTGATTCTCCTGATAACGGAAAATAAAGTGCATCAAACTTAAGATTTTAAGAAAGACTAATGTACAAACAAATTAAAATCAACTCAAGAGATTTCTGATCACATAGTGTTAAGATCTTTACAGCTAAGGTTTCTGCTGTTGGAAGGGCCTAATGACACGAAACCCTCAAATCTGAAGATTTGAGCTACTAAACACGTGATATAATTGAAATATTCCAAATAATCAATAACACTAAGTTGTGGATCATCACTGAATCTCAGGGCTGAACACCACATTAGTCATTTAGCAGACACTTTTATCCAAAGTGGCTTACAATAAGTGTTGTATACTGCTGCTGTATCACCCTGTCCTACATGATTCACTATCGATCTGTCCTTGAAGCTTTATTTTGGGTCCATACTGTATGTTTCTGTTATTAGTACGTGATCATGCCAGAGATGTATTCATAACAGTTCTGTATTATGTTTAACTTTGCTTGACAGTGACGGGAAGAAATTAAAGTGTAAAATAAGAAATATTCTACAAAACGATGTGACTTTGGATCACTTTTCGACACGTGGCTAATTGAGGACTCTTTCAAATCTGTGGCAGCTGTTGATATGTTTGACACCTGGAAGGTAATAGTTCAGAAAAAGGTGAAGTCCTTGTGGTGAAGAGACGCATACCTTATAGCTCCAACGTCCTCCGTCTTATTATTAAATGTAAGTGCTGCAACTGACGTTTTCATTATAGTTTAATCGGCTAATTTCTTCTTGAAAATCCATATAACATCAGACAAAAACATTAAAAATACCCATCACAATATCCTAGATCCCAAGTAACGTATGAATAGTTATTTAAAAAAAATGTATTCAGAATAGCATGCATTTGTGACCGCGTTGACACGGACTGTAGTGAATTGCCTTTTACTCTGAATGGGACCACTATTCCTCTTCTGTGTGAGCGGGTTGTGATGTTGCTCTGTGATTGTCTCTAAAACAAGAGACTCATTGATTAAAAACGGACCAAATATTACTGCCTGCTGTGTCACTGCATCCTGAAAGAACTGCATTGTAGACAATTTCCTTTTGAAAGAAGAAACATTTTAAAACGTTTTTCTAAAATCTTAAAGTAAAATAAACGCTCATCATGGATGGTAATCTGATTATTTTTTTTTTCAAATAAAACATATTTTACAAAGATATGTCTGAGCTTAACTGGAACAGAGGCACACACGCAGAAAAAGAGCAGAATGAAAGTTTCCTAATGTAATTATGTCTCTTTTTCCCTGCAGGGTCCGTGCAGAACAGTCATGCAGGCTCAGGAAGTCCTGAGACAGCTGCGATTTCCCGAGCTGGAGGATCTTCGGCATTACATGCGCGGCTTGCCCACCAATGCGCTCATGGGGATGGGTGCCTTCGCCGCCATCACTACCTACTGGTTCGCCACCCGGCCGAAAGCCCTCAAACCACCCTGTGACCTCGGCCTGCAGTCAGTGGAAATGCCAGTAAGCGATCTCTTTTCTTTTCCTCTGCTAATATCAAATGTCCCGATATGAATAAATGCGATGTGGATCCTACAGCACAGAAAACATAACTGTCTATCCACTGTCTTGTAATCCTGTGAGTTAGAGGAATAACTGAAGAATGATCCGACCAGTCAGCAGACCTCATTCAGGAATGATAACTTTAAACACAGCTGAAGTTCTTTAAATTACGAGCTTTGACATTGTCACTACTTGTCACACTTTGAGTGCTAAAAAGTTCATCTTAGGCTAGTTAAATGTTGGCCGTGCTGGTAAAGTGGACTTCATTGATATTTGTTATTTATCACTCCAATACATCTTTCTCATAAGGCCCCCTGGCGTTTATTAGCTGTAACAAATCACGTAATTTATGGTTTATACATTATTTAGCAAAGCTTAATTCAAGCCATCAACTTCTGGGTTGCCATTTTGGGGAAAAATCCCTTTGGTTGATGTTTAACCTCCTCCAGCAGCTAGTTCTGTAGTTTATGGGCTGTTGATCATCTAATTTACATCCGCAAACCTGATGGATTTAAAAACCCTTCATTAATAACTCATTAGCATAAACACACACTTAATAGTGTATTAGAAAATGAGTATTTATTAATGTTTTTTATAACATTTATTCATTTAAATAAGGGAAATCAATGTTTCACCTAGCAACCCAGTGGTCCTTCTCACAGTATCAATGGCTATTAATTGATCTATAACGCATTAGTAAAAAATGTAATAACCATTAATAAAGCCATTAGTTGCCACGTAAACTTCTCACAAAGGTTGCCTCATTAGAAAGTAGTAACATAATCCCAACCAATTTTAAATATTTCAGGAGACTTGTTAGTTATTATGTTTTTGCAAACCGTTTGTCTCATGATTAAGTCAGTAGACGTAAAACTTTCATGTGAAGTTGAAATTGCAACAGTGCGTTTTTTAAAACGAAGACAAAAGTTTGCAACAGAGGAAGGTGAAAATAAAGAACTTTGTTAGTTTTCTGATGTAATATTTTCAACTTGCCTTCACTAGGAACTAGTTGAGTCTTATAAAGAGAAACTAAATTACTAACATAGATCTCTGCTGACTCTGAAGTGCACATGGCTTACACACCAACAAGTGTTGTCCCTCTGTTCACTGTCATTTCATGATGCAGGATCCATGTTTGTGTTAGCAACATATCACAGATTACCAGGTCATCTTGAGTGCAGGTGTACCACGAAATATATCTGTGCTCTCCATCTTCTCACATTGTGTTTTTTTTCTCGTAGGGTGGAGAACTTGCAAGAAGGTCGGTACTGAACGACAGCGATGAGCCCATGACACACTACTACAGCGATGCACGCACAATGTACCAGGTGTTCCAACGGGGGCTCAGAGTATCAAGTGAGTGTATCTCCTGTATCGGTTACATATGATCACATTTTTCCGGTGAATGTAGATAAAAGTGAGCATTTTCTTTCGAAGATGACGGACCATGTCTAGGATCAAGGAAACCAAACCAGCCGTACGAGTGGCAGTCTTATAATGAGGTGACACGTGGACCACAGACGTGGAAATAATAACATTTGAACTGTTCCACAATACACAACTAGCCAAGTCTCAATAGGTATAAAAAAAACAAAAAACAGACCTTTGTTTTGTTTTTGCACAGGTGATGGACAGAGCGGAGCACATCGGCTCTGCTCTCCTTCACAGAGGACACTCTCCTACAGGAGACAAGTTTATCGGCATCTTTTCCCAGAACAGGCCAGAGGTACAACAAATGGCATCATCTTCTTATGCACTTGTGTTGCACAGTTTTTTTGTTGTTTTTTTTTAGTCAAAGATATATTGTCTGTTTGATTGTTCACTGTGTAGATCAGCCTTTAGTTCACCATTTTGTAATGTTGCCATCATGTATTGGGAAGAAAATGTTAACATTTACTGCTGGATGAGAGTAATGACCTGAGTAGTGTCCGATTTTATGTTTTGGAACCACAATTTAATGCGTGACATCCACACCTCTGAAATGCTTCCCACATCTCTATTGACATTTATTCAAGTTAATTCTTGATCATGGAAACGGTAGTTTAAAAAGCAAAGGCAAAATGTTACTCAATATCCAGCTTTTACCTGCACTTTCTGTAGCTGTTATGAAGTAATTTCCTTCCCAAAAGTTTTTTCAATTAGTAATGTTGATCTGTTTTTTTTTTTTGTTTTTTTTTGTCGCTTAGTGGACCATTTCAGAGCTGGCCTGTTACACATACTCCATGGTGGCTGTTCCATTGTATGACACACTTGGCACCGAAGCCATCGCCTACATTATCCACAGAGGTACACAAAAGTTCACCTTCAAGCGCTAACCACACACCGCCTGCAGCGCTATCGTTGATACTGACACAAACTGAGTGGTTAATCTGGTGACGTTTGTTCTCCAGCTGCCATCTCAACAGTGATCTGCGACATACCCGAAAAGGCTCAGGTGATTTTGGACTGTGTCGGTGAGAAAAGGAGAGCAGTGAAGACGATTGTGCTCATTGAGCCGTTTGACAGTGAGCTGGTGATGCGTGGACAAGAGTGTGGCATTGATATTCTGAGTTTGAAAGAGTTTGAGGTGAGAAGAACAAGTTGATCTTCATTGTGTTCATTATTACATCATCTATCTGCTGAGCACCAACTGTCAGCAGATGTTCAGGCAAATGATCTGTGTCTCCTGTTGTTCTGGTTATAACTACAGTAGGAATTAGGCCCTGTGTGTTTCAGCCATGATTGTCATCAGTCCTTCCTACAGACATGCTATATCTCACTATATGACCTTTTGAATTTCTTCCAGGCCTTGGGTAAAGCCAACCTCCAGACACCAGTGGTGAGTGACCTGTTGATTACATGACAAAAACGCTGTTAATTCGCACTATATTACTACAACTAGAAACTTAAATAATTCAGTTGTAATCAGCAGGAAGATTATGTTTGGCACTCAACTAAAATGTATCCTCTTGCACATTTCAAATGCAATAGCAATTCAAGCTTTAAACGCTTAAGTGTTGATCTGTGATCTGATTACAGCCCCCTACACCAGAGGACCTTGCACTTATCTGCTTTACATCCGGTACCACAGGTAATTACACAACTTGTTTACGTTAATCTTTTGGAAATGTCTTTTTTTTTCCCTCATGTATAATCATGATCATCGCTTTGGTTTCAGGAAACCCAAAAGGTGCAATGCTTACTCATGGGAATGTAATCTCCAACACTTCAGCTTTCATTAGAATGACTGAGGTAAACAAACACACCAACTCGACTTGGAATCATTTAAGTATTGCATCTTAAGATAAAGGGCATTGTCTAATGTATCTTTGATTTTAAGTCCTCTTCTTTTTAAGGTGGATGCTTCTGGTGGTGTTAATTCTGAATTATTCCTTTAGATTTATCTTATTTTCATGAATACACAACGTCATTTTCACTGGTGTTCCCCCCTCATTTTTTAAAATTATTGTTTTCAGTCACAGCCTGAGAGTGAGACTGCAGACACTACTCAGAGCTGAAAAAAGTACCTCTGCCCTCCTCTGCATGCATACAAATTATTTAGTCTACTGTATGTTTTTTCTTACAGTTGATATTCCCCTAGAACTGATTATCAAAGATTAGGCCGTAAAGGACAGTAGTCTGTCTAGTAACAACGCAAATACTGTCTTCTCCATCAAAGAAACAAAATGTGATTTTGAGGAGTAGTGCATAAATAATGCAGCAATTTACACCGCATTTTTGTTGTACTGCCATTATCTTGGAAAGCACAAGACACAATGTCGTCATAATTTATTATTTGCTAGACACATGTAAAATATGCTGGAAATGGCATCCTGCCCGTTCTATTACACCTTTGACTGAACAGCGCTGCCCCAACTTCTGAAACCAAAGCTACATCCTTGCATTCATGAGATTTGGATTACATAAATTGTAAACGTTGAGCTTTTTGATAAAATCTTGCTTAAAATCTCAAATCCTGTCTGACTCAGGTTGACCCTCTTTGACCCCTTTTTATTATTTCTTGTCCGTCTCGCCTCTGTTCATCTGTTCTCCCCTCGTGTCTGCTCCTCCCTCCCTCCTCCTCCTCCCTCCCCCTGTGTATGTTGTCGTCCAGAGCACACTGAAGCCCAGCAATAAAGATGTGCAAATCTCCTTTCTCCCTTTGGCCCACATGTTTGAGAGAGTGGTGGAGGTACAGTTCGCCATGCTTGGCCTGCATACATGCATGTGTTTTGTTTTGTGTGTCCTCCGCAGATACACTGCATGCTGAACCTCCATGATATTCATGTATCCTACCTCCCTCTAGCTCACATGTTTGAGAGAGTTGTACAGGTATGTGTTGGAGTTGCTTTCCTTCAGATGTGTTGCACAGTGAAATAATAAGTATGGTTTAACAAGAAAGCATGTTTATTATCCTCAAAGTAAGGCATCAAATGACCTGCAGCCGAGAAAGTGAGAAACTGTGTGGTGTTAGGCAGTGACACCAAAAAATGCAACGTGTGTGTTGGTCAAATTCATGTCCTCCTTAGTTGTTTTGAGGAATTTGTGATCAATAGATGTCCTTGACATCCTTGACCCGCAAAGTAACTTAATAGCACGGCCAGTAACAGCTTCTGGAAAATACTGCAGTGGGTTCAAATAACGCACACTGGATATTTAGTGAAATGTTCTCAACAACACTGCCCCCTTGTAGTTAAATGTGGTTAAACAACACTGCCCCCCTGTGGTTAAATTGTCACACTGATGTAACTTGCAACAACGAGGAATAAGCAGCTCTCTTGTCATCAGGGTGTCATCCTCATCCACGGGGCTCGAATCGGCTATTTCCAAGGAGACATTCGACTTTTGATGGACGATTTGAAAACGCTGCAGCCAACAGTTTTCCCTGTGGTGCCACGTCTCCTCAACCGCATGTTTGATAAGGTCAGAGTTCATGTAATCTTACTCATGTCTACAAAAGTCATAATGAGGAGAAGAGCCACCTGTTTCACTAGTTCTTATTTTTTTCAAGAGCATCCTTCTCTGACTATAGTTTTTTTTTATTATTCAATTAATTTACTTACTAGTTTACTCGTCTCTTTTCTCTGGTCTGCTGCCTTGGTTAATGTTTATCAAATGTAGTGATTTAAAATAAAGCTTGTCTCAATAACTCGCAGGTATTTAGTCAAGCCAACACGCCGCTGAAGAGATGGCTGCTCGATTTCGCTTTCAGTAGGAAGGAGGCAGAGCTTAAAAGTGGTGTGGTCAGAAAGGACAGCATGTGGGACAGACTCATCTTCAAAAAAGTGCAGGTAAACATGGCATCTTGTGTTTTTGTTCAACTAAAGCTTACTTCTTCCACTTGATTAAGAAATATATCTGCCTGATATTACCAAGATATCATGCATATTTGGCTTTGAAAGAGGCTTGGTCTGCTGTTAACAGGTACGTAAACAAAATAATAAATACCTATTTTTTTTTTTAAAGGTCAGATAAACACTGACCACATAAGTTCCTTACAGTAATTTTACTAATTGAGTAATCAGTGGGTTTTATAATGTATGAAAAATGATGTTCTTCCCGTTTATGTCACACTTTGCAGGCGAGCCTTGGCGGTCGTGTCAGACTCATCATCACAGGGGCAGCGCCAGTGTCTGCAACCATCCTGACGTTTCTACGAGCTGCACTAGGCTGCCAGGTGAGCCACATCCACCCGCCCAACTCATTTATTGTTTGGTGATGTTTGCATGAAATGTCACTAAAAACTTGCTCTGCACTCCACAGTTTTATGAAGGCTACGGCCAGACTGAATGTACAGCTGGGTGCTCCATGTCAATGCCCGGGGACTGGACAGCAGGTAAAGACGCTTGTCGGGTTTCATGTAATTACAGCTTATGAGTGCAATTGAAACAGTTCTGTCTTTGAACCATGAAACTGAACTGTGACTATTTTGTGTCTGCAGGTCACGTTGGGCCTCCTCTGCCCTGCAATGCTATCAAACTGGTGGATGTGACAGAAATGAACTACCTGGCAGCCAATGGAGAAGGAGAGGTGAAGAGTGCTTTTTCAGTAACAATTAAATACATAAAGTTACACAGGGAAATGTATTTATTTACTTTTTAAGTAGAGATACTTAAAGGCTAGTATTATTTTTATATATTATGATTATTATAAAAATAACAAATATTCCAAAAACCAACAGTGAAACTAGCCAGTACTGTAAAACGCATGCCTCAATGCCATATCAACAACTACTAGAAGCACATAAAATGAGCCACACTGTTGCATTTGGGGTGTCATACAGTATTTTCATTACGATGAACACGGTCAGTGTAGCTTATTCTAAAACAACTCCATGTCTACGTTTTCTGTCTCTGAAGAGTAGCTGCATGTTCGGCAAATTTAATGAAAAGAAATGGGGGAACCCTTTATGATGAATCTTTTATTGCAGTGTAATGAGGGTTAGAATACTCGTATGACTGGAGAGGAATACACAGAAGGTAAATCGAATGATGATAAACACAAGTAACACATGAAAGTTAATGAAGTTAATCTTCCAGTATGTTAAGAGCCTACATGCTAAAGTTGGCACGCTAACAAATGATGACGATGTATGACATTAAAAACATTAAAAATGTCATAAAAAGTCATTCAAACATGCATTAAAAAGTCAAAGTATACTATGTAAAAAGTCATAAAAAATTCAATTTAAAGTGTAGTATGTCATACATTACATCAAAAAAGTCGTAGTGTGGTATGTCATAAATGTCATACTAATGTTACAAAAAGTAAAAATGTTTAAAAATGCCATTTAAAAAGATGATGTTCATAAAAAAAACATCATAAAAGTTTGTCGTGTTATAAAATAAGTCAAAGTATAGTGTGCCATAATTCTTTGAAAATGAATTCAAAATTCATGCTAAAGTATGCCACCATTGAAAAATGAATTAAGTCATAGTATGTCATAAAACATTTAATAAAAATGCATTTTTAGAGTAATTAAGTCCTTGTTTTTGGAAGGATTGAATTCAAGGCCTTTTAAGACAATGTGCGGGACCCTGAATATAGAATGCCATGAATAACATTTTCATAGTATGTCATGAAAAGTTCTAGTACAGAAAGCCATACAAATATGATTAAGTCATGTTGTAAAAAATATCATTAGTCATACAATAGTATGCCAAACAAAAATGATTGTATAGTATGCCATTCAAATCAATCATAAAAACTCAATGGCATAAAAAAAGTTATAGCATAACATATTTCATCAAAAACATACCATAGAAATTGTCATGAAACGTAAAAAAAAGTCATATTATTTAAGTCTGTTATTAAAAAAGACTTTGTAGAAAAAGTCCCAATGTAACATGTATACAAATATGATATCGTCTGCAAATGTGCCAAATTCAAGCTTTCAAAGAAATGTGATTTTCATCAATGTTGTCACCTTTTAGGTGTGTGTCAAAGGACCAAATGTATTCCAGGGATACCTGAAAGATCCTGAGAAAACTGCAGAGGCAATCGACGATGATGGATGGCTGCACACCGGAGACATTGGGAAATGGCTTCCTGTAAGTGGAACAGGCTGACGGAGCGCTATTGATCTATGATTATTTATATGGGTAGATGTATTACGCCGGGTTGCATAGCATCAGTTGCAACCATAATTTCAGTTTGTGTTTCTCTCCTGGTTTTGTCGCAGAGTGGCACTCTGAAGATCATTGATAGAAAGAAGCACATTTTCAAGCTGGCACAAGGAGAATACATTGCCCCCGAGAAGATAGAAACGACGTATAGTCTCAGCGATCCAGTGGCCCAGGTATTCGTTTACGGTGAAAGCTTAAAGGTAAGTAATTATTGTGAAACTGGTGTAGCGCTAAATATCAGATATTGTGATGATGCACAATACAGTTTCTAATATGGTGCAATTTGTGTTATCCATGTTATATTTTTCAGGCATGTCTGGTGGGGATAGTGGTACCTGATCCAGACTTTTTGCCCATGTGGATCAAGAAAAAAGGGATTGAAGGCTCCTACTCTGAACTGTGCAAAGACAAGGTGGGAGTCATTATTACTATCTGCAGCTCAAACAGCCACACACGCGTTACACGTGTTAACTTTTTTTCTGACCGTTTTTTTAGGATGTGAAGAATGCCATTCTGGAGGACATCCTGAGGTTGGGCAAAGATGCAGGACTCAAGTCTTTTGAGCAGGTGATTGTTGCCATGTTTGACTTTATTGAAATAAAATACCTTCAAGTTCTGAATTTTCCATTCAACTGCATTTGGTCTGGCAACAGAAACTAATTTAAATGCAACTTTTAATATTTGTTTTTGTATTTCGTCTTATTCAGTCTGCTTTTGCTCTTTCTTTTCTGTCTCTGCAGGTGCGAGATATTGCTTTGCATCCTGAGCAGTTTTCTGTCCAGAACGGCCTGCTGACACCCACCCTGAAGGCCAAGAGGACTGAGATCCGGAGCTACTTTAGAGAGCAAATTGATGAACTCTATGCCCAAATTAAGATGTAAACTGGGATCGAGGAGTACTGTCAGAAAGGTAACAATCATTTAAAGCACATGACCAGGGCCCCATTGTTAGTTAAAGGGATTTGTCATCCATTCGTTTGTCAGTGACAATCTTGGATAATGAATCTCATTTTGAAGTATGTATTGTCCCCGCTTCTTCTAGTAGCTGTACCACTAACGATTCCCTGCTATCCTAAGAGTAAGGGTTAAAAACAGAAAGGGGAAATCTGACTTGCTCATGCCATAAACTGCCATTAAGTCTGACTGCTTCATGTTCAAGAAGGTGAAGACATTTCTATCAGTTTTTTATTCTTAGGAGCTGCAGAAAACAAATTCTATAAAGATGCTTTTACAAAAGTGACTTATATTGACTCTTTATCTACCAGTCTAGTTGATGTGTTGGTCTATCTATTTAAGTTGGTATTTAATATACTCATCAAACCTGTAAATAGTGCATCTGCTGAAAGGTCTATTTGTTTGCAGAATATTGTGCCTCATAACTCTGTCATTGTAATTCACTGCATTCCTATTAAGGACTGATACACCGTTTTAGTGCACAATTTAGTTATTGGCCTGTTGGGAATCATACTGCTTGATGGACTTTGTGTGCCTTTTTCTGTTTTCTTTTAACAGTCCATGGGAAGTAAAATGTTACTAAACTGTACATGCAGTTCCTCCATCCTAGACTTTCAGATGTTAGTGCCACAGGTTGCAGGATAAAGCTGCATACCATCATTTGTAAAAAATGCATTTCAGTTTTTAGGGGTAAATATTTGGAACACTGGTGTCACCATTTAAAGAAGCTTGTTTTTCAAATTAATTCCATGTCCTTCGACAACATTTCACATTAACTTTCATACATTTTCAATTTTCTTGTATGAAACGGAGCCACATCTCAGTGGTTTGACAAAAGATTTAGTTTTGAATTCATTATGATTTCTACACATTTAATCACGTTAAGGCCTATTTAACATTTCGAGCCATATTATTCTTTTTGGTCTAGTTTGTTTTGTGTGTTTTTTCATGACGATATTGAAAAGGGTAAAGGTGCAGTTTTGTGCTGAGGTTACAAGTACAGTTTATTTATTTCTCAGCTGTACCAAATAAATACTTTCTTGCAAAACTGTTTATTTTTTATCTTTTATTCTTTGGGGAGAGACATTTTGTGCCATTGCTGGAGGCATGTTTTCGTGTTGTCGGTCCATCCAGTCTTGTGTATCTCAGGAATTTCTTAAAATGTGGCACAAACGTCCACCTGGACTCGATGAAGTGATACGATTTTTTTTTAGGTTAAAGTGACCTCACTTTCGTCTCATTGTTATGGTATCTCGGGAAAGCCTTGAGCTCATTTTTTTCAGATTTGGCACAAATTCCACTTGGACTTAAAGATGAACTGATTAGATTTTGGTGGTCAAAGGTCAAGGTAACTGACCTCGTGTCCGTCCCATTGTCAGTAACACGGGATTTCAAGAAAACCTTGAGAGAATTTCTTCATATTTGGTTCAAACATACTCTTGGACTCGATTATGATCTGATTAGATTTGATCAAAGGTCACTGTGACTTCACAAAACATGTTTTGGGCCATTTGTCAAGAATTCATTTGGTAATTATTGACTTGGGTCGATTGCCATACTCCTTGCTTGATGACCCGTGCTCTCTCGTACTGTGGTAAATATTTTGGCTGCGCTAGCTGCTCCAACATTTTAAGGGCATTTATGAGAATTTTAAGGCATACTATAATATGCCTTATTTGTGAGTATTGGGACTTACTATAGTGTGGCTTTTTTCAACCTACTATACTATGAATTTTAAAAACTTTTTTTTGTTTTTTTTAACTTTTAAACTTTTTTACTTTTGGCTTAAAGGGAATTCTTTGCATACTTATACCATGACTTTGTAATGATTATTTATCATACTATACTATGACTCTTTGGTTACTTTTTAGGACATACTATGCGACAGACAGAGGTATAATACACCTTTTTGACTTTTTTTGACACTTTACTATGGTTATTTTATTACTTTTCTTGATATACTAAGCTATGACCTTTTTGGTCGACATACTATAATATAGCTACTTATATTTTTCGATTTATTATAAAATGGCTTTTACAATTACTTTCAAAGACCTTGTATACTATGACTTTTTGAAACTTTTTGTTAACTTACTATAATAACAACCTTGTAGGTCTCTAGCAGTAAAGAAAGCAACAAAACTGGATGTACTGCAGTTTAATATTTAAAGCACCAATGAAAGTAAAGATTCCAGAGTAACAAAACATCTGCTCAACAATATACAAAACAGCTGAGTGAGATGAAGAACAAAGGGTTGGGCTACCACCAACTCATTTAACAAACAAAACAAAAATCAAATTAACTCGTACACAATGCTGCTTACTTACTACAGCTAACAAAGACTGAACAAAATAAAAAGAAAGCATATCTGACCACCACTAAATTCAGTGTTTTACTAGACCGTCAAATTCCGAGTGTGGTGCCGAAATAGTGGATGAATTTACAAATATAACCAAAAATAAATTTCTGCCCAAAACCACTAAGCTAGTGCCTCTACGAGTTCACTTTTAACACAAAACCTAAATTATCACACATTTACATTGCAGAGAGGGAGACACTGGGGCAATCTACTCGGGTTAAATCAGCCGCCCTGACATTTTCTCAAGGCAGGTTTTATCAGCTGGGACGGTAGGCAGACAGGCAAATGGTTGTCGGCTGGCACCAGAGTCAAAAAGATGTCGGGGCCGGTTGAAATTGGGGAAAGACTGGAGCACCAACATAAGATGGAGATCCAGATGTATTGAGCAGGTGGGAATCCCTCTGGAAGGGTGGATGAGAAAGGAAAAGACTGCACCACTGTAACAGGCTGACAGATTTACCTTTTTTTTTTTTTTTTTATACATTTTCATGCCTTTTTTCAACATACTATACTATGACTTGTTTTTTACTTTAGACAAACTGACTACTTCATGACATTGTTTGACATATTATACTATGACTTAAATACTTTTCATAACACACTTTAATATGACCGTGTGGTGACTTTTTTGAAATACTATAAAATTGCTATTTCAAGACACTATACTGTGACTCAACGAACTATACTGTGATTTTTGTTGTGACTTTCTATACTATGGCCGTTTTCTGACTGACTTTTACAATGACATTTTGTACTTTTTGTGACTTGACAACATACCATGACTTTTTTTGAACATACTGTATTACTTTTTTGACATACTATTCTATGTATTTTTTATGAAACACTTTACTTTGACCTTTAATCTATGATATACTATACTGTTTTTTATGACACTTTTCCTATGATCTTAGACCTATGATCTGATATACTATGGCTTTTCTTTTATAACAAACTTTACGATGACCTTTTTCTAAAACACTATACTGACTTTTTGGACATGCTATCCTATGGATTTTTAATGAAATACTTTCACGATTACATACTTTGACTTTTGTCATTACATTTTTATAACATACTATACCATGACACTATGCTATTTTTCCCGGCATTTATACTGACTTACACACTACTATGACCTTTCATTAAGTTGACATGCTGTACTATGACACTGATTTTTTGAATGGCATAGTAAACTGACTTTTTATACTATACTATGACTTTTGTTACGACATACTATGCTATGTTTTTGCATGACATTTATGACACACTTCACCATGATTTTTCATGACGTACTGTGGTGTGACTCTACAATATTTGATACATAGTATTCATACTATACTATGAATTATTTATGATATGACTTTTGTAACAATATACAATACTATGACTTTCATAATTGTATGTCATACTATGACTTTTATTTACATACTAAACTATGAGTCCGGCATGGAAAGCCAAAAGCATTTAATAGTTTTTAAATTTTAAATATCCAACAGCTAATAATTTGAGGGTTTTTAACTAAAGGGGACACTGCATTCCTAGCCTAAAATGACATAAATAAAACAGTCACAGTATATTATGCCATGAAAATGTTTTTTTCTTTTTTTTCTAGATTAATCAGAAAACGTGTTGAACTATCTTTATACATTCCTTTAATGACAGATGTTTGAACCTGGAATTTATTTTTAATTGTCTTTATTCTTGCATTTATTGCAGTCAGAGCCATTAATAGTACTTACATTCATTATCAGATGAGATGTTTGTCTGTTGGAACAAAGCGTCACGAAGTGTAATAATTGAAAATCAGATTTCAAAAGCATGTCAGAGAAGCAAGCATTTACAAATCCTTACACATGGCGCAATTATAACCAATTGGAACATTTGGTTAACTGTCAACAGACTGCTCTGCCTCTTAACACTGTGTCGTGGACCGTTATTGTAAAATGTGCACACTGGGATTTGATGATAGGATTGACACTGCAATCAAAGCAGCAGTGTTTCCTCTGATTCCCTCATCTGTAAGATGTGTTTTTCTACCAATTCTGATGTACAACCAGTACCTTCTCTCCATGACACGGCTGCTTTACAAGCTATCACTGGCTCCTCTGAGCGGTCTGCCTGGTTATCAGCCAGTCGTGCTCTCACTGATGCTCCTGTGATGGCTGTGTAGTTGCTCTATATTAACTCCTTCCTCAACTTGCTTGTGTGACATGAAACTCACCCTCTACTGGGATTCAAAATCTGCCATGCATTTGAGCAGGAGCTGATCAGAGATATCCCTATTTTGTTCAAAGTCGTCCAGGCTCTCCAAGTAGTCCTGGTCATCCTGTCCGTCTCCCCACACGTCATCAGTTGCCTCCTCTGGACACACTGTGCTCTCTGGGGCCTGGTTTGGTGCCTGGCTGAGTTCAATGTTGCCCGCATCATCCATTAAGTAAGCCTGGTCTTCTTCATCCTGTAAGTGAACAGAACACATCATAAATACACCATGTCTTTGAGCTTTAAAAAGATTTCCTGGCTACGTCAGTCAGGATGCTAGTTAAAGTAGAGCAAACTAACCAGTGTCATGATATAGCTGACGCAGATCTCCTGTGGCAGTGGGTAACCTGTAACGTTAGAATTATTTATCTCAGACAGGTTGCATTGCCACCATTGAGCACTCCCCATGAACAGATCATGTAGCCTTCATTTGTTTTAAATATAAAAAGTCAGTATTAGGGTCATAACTTACTTGAGGACCTGAAGTTCCTACATTCAGGATCGTGACACTTCTGGTACCACACTTCCTCTTTCAGGTCCACAACAATCCTGCAGAGGAGAATGTGACCAAATCAGAAGGGAAGTGACGGACACGTCACACACAAACTTTAGCAAAACATGAAACATACATACATGATGTTGTTGCTTTTATGAAACCTGTCCATGTTTTCACACCAGCGGTATTTAGCGATGTCGTAAACAAGCAGTTGTTCAACGGCAAAGTAGCTCCATCGCCTGATGCCTGTTGAAGTAAACATATCGGACAGTTCTGACATTGCCGATATCAATCTTTGCATTGTAACTAGTGCATAATGACATGGGATGGTTTGAACACGCACACACTTTGCAACTCACCGAAAGTGAATAGCAACTTACTGTATGCTATCGAGAGGTGTATATATAAATATACAGTATATAGGTATCGGAAGCATAATAGACGGAATGAATTGGTTGAAATGCAATCTGGGAACCCACCAGCTATTGTCTGACATTGACTTTTTATTGGTTTGAAATTAGCTTAACTAGCTATTTGTGAAACAATCTAATCTTACACGTCGTTTCTCAACTCCAGTCTCGCATCTCAAGTTGCTAATCGGCAGTAAACAACAAGCAGCAGACAGAAGGAAGTCTTCTTCAGGAATATCAACTGGCTACACTGGAACCCCAGAAATAGGTTTTGATTTATATCATTGTGAACTGAATGTCTTTGGACTTTGTAAACAAAACAAGACTGAAGTCGTAAACTAGGTCTTGAGGAAATTGCGACATGCATTTTTTCACTGTTTTCTGTCAAGTTATAGACAGTATAGCATATCATTAGCCCAGACACTTACTTCCATGGATGCCATTTTTTTTAATCACAGTTAGTACAAAGTTGTCCACTTCTTGATGAGGGGATGACAGGCAGCCAGAAAGTGAACCTGCCACTGATGGATTTGACAAAAAAAAAATTAATGTGGAAAAATCTCAAGGTAAAATATTGATACTCTGACTAATTATGTAATAAACTGTTGATGCATGCACAACATAGAGCGAAGCCTCGTTTGTCAGTTCAGTGCTACCTGGATATGTGGCTGATCCCTGCTGGCAATGAGGCCTCGAGGTTTTGGATTCCTTTGTTTCCGGGACGTCCAACGTGAGAATTCTTTGACCTGTGAAACTGATGATACACAGAAATAAGCTCTAAAGCTGTGGCTTGATGAAGGTAACGTTTTCAGAAAACCGAGTTTAAAAAGTGTTGTACCTCATATTACAGACTAGGGAAGCCAAGAACACACTTTCCTCCTCGGAGACTCCTTTGTCAGGTTTGTGAATAAACGTGTTGTCATCTGCCACCGTGAATGCAGAGTTCTTTCCCACTTTTGATGACTTGTAAAGGCGGAAATTTCTGTTCTTGGTGTAAACACCTGTTTTTTGTAAAAGTATAATTATCTACTGGCAATGTTTACAAAATGGATGCATTAAAGAGATGCTGAATGTATCAAGAGAAACATTTTAGTGTCTGATATAAGGGTAAAAATGACAAATAAAAGCTTGTGGTTTCTCTTACCAAGATCAACAAAAAGACAGTCTTGGCCGTCCTTGTTTTTCACCTGGAGGAACTTGAGGTCTGTCTCTTCCTGCTTGCACCTCTTGGCTTGTGGACTCTCAGCCATCTCATCTGCCTTTGCTGGCGTCCCCTCAGAGACGGCACGAGTTCTGCCGTCAGTACATAATTGAGACAAATTACACAAAGAGATGGTAGCAAAGACATTTCTATATGTATTTTAACATGTCTGAAAAACAAACCGTGTTTCACTGTTTTCTGCCACTGAATTCATCCCAACATTCAGGCCACTTTTGGGTGTGCTCAGGACTGAGTGGAGAATTGCGTGGATAAACCTGCCTAAAAAAACGACAGGATATATGAACTGAAGTAACATCTGAACAAAAATAAAAAAAACTTTTGTTCCCTCCATGAAACACTGGACAAACCCATATGAATGTTGTCTTTGAAAGCTGCATTTTGGAGATTGAAGATGAGATGTCGACTGAACTTGTCTTCCGTGCTCGAGTCGAGATTGAGGACATCATTTGCAGAGCACTCAATCCCATAAACTTCCATTAGCTTGTCACAAACATACTGTTGAGACACAAAACATGGAGCGGTAAATATCATACAGCTGTATATCATACATCTTTAAGTAAGGAAGTAACAAAATAAGCTATTACACATAATCTATCCAGATGTTTCCCCCATATGTGATAAAGTTCAGTCTCTATATTTATCTGTGTGTGTATACACATATATATACACATATATATACATATACATATACACACATATATACATATACATATACATACATATACACACATATATACATATACATATACACACATATATACACATATATACATATATATACACATATATATATATATA